TATTTTAACGTGCTTGAACCTATCATACTTAATAAATTGTACTTTCAGTATTGTATCAAAGACATAATTTCTGCATTTATAAAAAAGTATTGGTGACCTTTGTGGATTGGAGAAGATGTGCCTTATCAAATGGGTGTACTGGTATAAAACAAGCAGGTGTAATTTTTGGAAGTGATTCAAACTGTGTAGACAATAAATATTGAGGAGCAGAGGAAAGTACAATTAAGAAACGTTTCTTAATAAACTTCAGTGGCTGTCCAGTTCTCTCTGCGTGTTCTGTCTTACAAGTTACTTCTTGTGTGCCACCAAAACTCCGAAAACATAAATTCTTAATGCTATATTTTCTAAAGTTCATAAATACTTGATAATTGCAGGTTCTTAACAGTTGTTGGTTTTAGCCTATCAGCAGTGTGTTCACATCTGGCTTGGAAACACTTTGAACGCAGACTTTCTTGGTTGGCCATGTGTTTTGTTTTTGAAAAGGGCTTTCAGGAACCTAATTCACAGTGAAGATGCATCTGATGGCTGTGTATCAGTGCTTGAGTTTTTGCTAAGTCTTCTCACAACACCAGCTTTCCATGGGTCTCCGCTTGCCGAGTTTTCTGTCTTACAAACTGTTTCTTGGTTGCCACCAACGGTCAGCAGGCCAGCTGGTCCCTGGTGTGTTACCCCTCTGTCCACAGGGCCTGTGCTGTGTGGTTGTATCAGTCGAATACCCCTAGGAGATACTGTCCAAACGCACGGTTTCTTGGCTGAAGAGTAGGAGTGGGATTCTGGTTAGTTAATTTATGGTGTGACTGCAATGAAGAACATGATTCTGAGGAAACAAACTTACTGTGATTTAACAGCACCTCAGAGAAATCGTTGGGAGTCAGTTTAGCTAGAGCCCATCTAGGAGAAAGAGCACTAAGTGCAACACTTCTGGCAACGCCAGTTAGAGCAGCTGCCAGTCTGGCAGTAACCATCAGTCTTACCCGTACATTCTGACTAAATTCTCATCCCTGCCCAATGTACAGTCTTTAGAATTCCAAATGGAGCAGAGTTGGAGGCAGCACCAGAGGACCCTGTCGTGGTAAAACAGAACAGAGCAGCTGATGATTCTGGAATAAGTTCTAGAACAAGTCACCTGGACAGGTCAACTAGAGGATGTTCTAAGAACACATTTCAGAGTTTTGTTTTTTTAAAAAAAACAACGAACTTCAGGAACCCACTGAGGAAATTTCACAGAAGCAGATTCCAGACCAAGATAAGGGAAACTGTAGATTAGCAAGAGGGTTTCATGTTAATGTCAATGTTTGAAAAGATAGTACAAGCGATAGTACACGAAGCCACATGTACAAGTCACACCACTGTTCTAGTCGTCCTGTCACCTCTCACCACTGTATGGATGGATTACAAGAGTGTGAGGGAAATTAAATGTGCAGGTAGGTATTTGTTCTCTCTAAATCTGAATTGATTATTAAAAATAATTAAAACTTGGATTTAGAGGATTTGGAAGCATCAGCGCGTGTTTCAGGATATATTGTGTTCTTTGGAATTCTGTTTCACTTGAGGGCTGTTAGTGTTATATCACTATTTGCTTTGAAGAATTGTTCCAGAAATCCTGTTTTATTATTCCTTGTGCTGATAATGGTACAAAAGTCCCATAGGTATGCCAGAACACTGTCTGTTTGTCCTCTGTTCTTGGTGCATAATTCAGGTGGTGAGGGGATAGCAAAAGGGAGCTAATTCTGTGTCTAGGAAGTGTCTGCATCCTAATTTGGTATCCTGTTCAATAGTCACCCACATCTTTCCTCATTTCTTGGCTGTTGATGAGAGTTTTTCACATATCTGAAACTCAAAATGCTCCATTAGATTCTAGTAAAGAACACGTACGAAGTGTCTGTTTCTGTACTTTTTAAGCCCCCTCCATTCCTTGGTAGGCTTTTTAGGCGGTAGGTGATAAATGTCTTCGAACAGGTGGATGAATTCCTTCTCTTGGTCTGTTCTGTCTCAGTCTGTTCCTGCCAGAGCTACCATTACATTAAACTCCTCTGTTCCTCCTTCAACCTGGGTTAAGCAATGCATTACTGATCCTAGATGAGTTCCTTAGTCTATAATTACCAGGTTAAGAGTTAAGTATGAAATCCTTTTCCTAGTATGCTGCCAATAATTAGGGCTGGAATCGTGGCTAGCAAAACCTTTTGAATAGGTCTATGTAGAGATGAAATAAGGAGTATGAGATTAATTTAAGTATCAAGGTGCAGGCATGCATGGTGCAGAATGGAAAGGGTAGGGATTGCTTTCTTTTAGATGACCAAAGAATCCTTGCTCTTTCATTTCACTGGTAGAACACTGTACCTCTGAATAGTCACCAAGATCTTTTGGGAGAGGGCCATGCGCTTCTAGGGCAGGTAGGAAGAAATGATAGCTCGCCTACTGCATGCAAAACACATGGATGCTGGCTCCAAGACTAGTGAGCAACCTTTCAGTGAAGTGTCAAAATCTATTAGTAGTACATAAATGGATATTGAACATATGGAATGTGTCATAGCAATCTGTTAAATGCATGTTATGCTCTTTCGTCATGTTGCCTCTTAAGTTTAAAGCTGTAGGCGCATGAGCAGCCTTTATTTTTCTTATGGGGCTGGTCTTGGGCTGTTACTGAGCAAGACAGTAAATCTGGTTTTGGGGCACATCACTCACGTTGCTTATTCTAATGTGCTCAAACAAATGTGAGAGGTAGCTTTGTCCTAGGAGATTTCGTGCTAGGTCAGGTATTGTATCCCTTTTTGCTGGCCTGAAAGCATAAACTCTGAAATGTGTGTTCTGGTTAATTCAACAGAATTAGAGTTGTGTGCCCATGACTGATCTGAATCAAATTCGTACTGCTTGGTGATCTGACGGTGTGCGGAGATGGCTGTGAGGCGATGACCTCTGTGTTGATGGATGCACCTTCTTGTTGGCAGCATGGAGTCTGCAGGCCAGCAGTCTTTGAGTCTGTACCTGGCCTTTTCCGTTACAAATGTTGTGGAGAGCAACGTCACAGCAATGTGGAGATCATTGTAATGTCTACAAGGGAAGCGCTGCTGAAGTGTGTTCTGTTTTCTGTAACCTTTGTATTCTGATGATCTAACATGGAAAGTACAAGCTCCTTCTGTGCTGGAACCCTGGGCTGACAGAAGGGATAAGGGACAAACGAGGAGCATGCAGAGTTCAAAGGGCTCCAACTAAATGTGCGTATGGGGTCATAAGTTGCTACAACCCATGGGTATTACACTAACAACTGGATGGCGTCTGTCTTGAGGTTGCTCTGTGGAGGAGATGATAGGCATGTAGTTCTGCTTGGAACTGCATGTTCTGTGCTTAAAGGTTTCTAACTAACGGATTTCTGTCTGTCTGATTCTCTTACCTCACAAAATTGTATGTAGAAAACTATTTCTGTACCCACTGTAATATGGCAATGTTGGATTTTCCTCGTGGTTGGTGGGCAGGCTTGGTTTTTAATTTCTGACCTTCCCTATGTTCTTCACTCTTATATCGGTGGGAGGGACTAGATATTTCTGATCTTACTTCTGACTACATTCAAATCCAACCAAGCAATCAGTGACTTCTCTGACTTTTTTTGTATACGGCTGTGGGAAAATTCCTGGTTGGCTGGCTATGAATTAATGAAAATCCTTAGAATGCTTCACTAATGATAGCTCCTGTGGCTTTAAAAATGCTATTCCCTTTTTTAATTTGAGGGAGGTCACAGAGGTTTACAGAAACTAAGAAAAGAAAACTTAACATCTGGTTGTGCTCTGTTGATGACTGCTTTTGTGTGAAGAAAAGTTATGGCGTCTCCTCAGCATCAAACGCATTCAAGGTGATCCTTTCTAAGAACACTTTGCAAGAATACTTTTCACTCAAACTGTGTTTTTTAATTAATTTTGCTTTGTATTGTCAAATGGAGGATTTTAGTCCTCCATGGGAATCCCAAACTCATAATATTGATGCTTCAAATACACCGTACCTTTATGAAATAAACTTATTTTCTTGAGTTTTGTATTTATAATGTAAAAATATTTATGTAAGTCTCTAATATTTTCCTTTAAAGTTGTAGAACTCTGAGATTAAAACCAGCTATTGGGTTAGATTCTGGGATTTATGAAAGGAATTTTTGTTTGTTTGCGTATCCGTAGTGAAGTTCAGTTTCATCCATTTGCATAGTTCCAAAGAGTAATCTGATTTGTAAAGGTTCCCTTTTTATAATTTTAATTTTACAGGCTAAAAGAGAATGTTTTTTGTTTTTTGGGTTTTTTTTTTTATAATGCAGATGAAAATTACGTGTGAATTCAGTTTAGCTAGTAGGAAGGCATAATATGAGAATGTTTACAACTAGTAAATCTTCTAAATTGTTAAAACTAGAAGCTATCAGCTGTTCAGTTAAACATATGTATTCCAGGTGTGACTGGCCTGGAATCAGAAAGCATAGAAAAAATACAACTTTAGACACTTTTAATAGTCCCATTATCTTTTTATTTTATGCACTGATTTAAATTTAAACAAACGATATGCAGGTCTCTATTTGCCATCAACTTGTGGAAACAACACTCCAATCTCTTTTCTTTTTAAATGTAGAATACTAAAGGTTTTGTTGAGTGGTTTTGTTTCTGTTGTTCGTTGTGGGGTTTTCGTTTGTTTGTTTTATTTGTTTAAAGAGCTAAAATCCTACCTGTTAAAATCAGTGGCAAAACTTTGACTTTTGTTTTGATGGGATTTTGTCGTTTATACCTCAGGTGGCTTGATGCTTTGTGGTTAGCTAGCACTAAATACCTGTGACTGCCTTCGGTGCAAAAGCTGGGTGCTTTGCACACTTGAGAAACAAGACTGTTACCTGGCTGCTGCTGCTTTGTGTCTACGGGAATATTACTGCCCACTAAACTAGGACACAATTTCAGAATGCAGTTCACCTCCACAGTAACGTCCCAGGTGAGGAGTGTTTGGGTGCATCTTCTCTGCACAGGGCAGTGCTGTCGATGGCCGGACTACCTCGGAGCCAGCGAGCCGAATACCAGAAGCAGGACAGCTGTGGTAGTGGGCATCGTACTGGTGTTCACAGCTGCCCCAAACAGAGCAGCTTGCTAGTATGGCAATTTCTGATGCTTTGGCTTTCTTGATAATAGCCGTCTTCAATCTCAGCGTTGCATAGGTGTGTGCCGGAACAACCCATATAGTGTGTTGTCATAGAGTAGGTAGTGCACTGTGAAGTTACATCTTAGTTTATCACATAGTAATAACTCCCTTTACAAACAGGCCCTTAGGGATAGATATGTTTTGTTCAAGTGTACCAGAGTAACTTTGGGTACAGCTGCCCAGACAATGAAGAATTCCATCCCTTTCCCCTGTCTGAGCTGTTCAGGTCCCAGGAAAGCTCATGTGTACTGCTTCATATTTGTCCAATTTCTGTGGGGATCAATGTTATCTCCCTGTCTGGGCTTGCCCCTAATTATAGGCAGTAGTAACAAAATGAGGATGGAAGCTGGAACCATTAAGTTGTGCAATTTACTCTGAGCATAAAGACTGCTCTGTCTGGATGAGCTTTAAATATGGTGTGGGAAGGGGGTGTTGCTGAATTGCAAAATTTTTTAGCTCAGTTTTCAAGCTTGAGCTGGGCTTCCCCTTAAATCTTAGAGATATGGGGTATAAACGAGTGATTTAAGCTTCACCTTGTAAGTGTGAGCAGATCCTTAGAAGATTGGAGTGGGATTCTGAAAAAGGATGAAGTGCCCTAATTCCTATTAACTTTCAGTGAGATTTGTTCTCTTTTGTGGCTCAGGGTGTAGTTACATTTTGTATTGACTCAGCAGTGAAGCTGGTTAGTGAAATTTTCACTCCCATCTGCTTCTTCCCACTTTGGTGTTGCTGTTCGCCCTTCCCTCCCCACCTGTTTTAATGCACTTATTTGTGAGCTGCATTGTAAATCACATTATTAAAACAGTTTGAATTGAAACTATTTCTGTGTCTTTTTTTTTTTTTTTTTTTCCTTTTTCTTTTCACAACTGGGGTCATTTCAATGACATGGCTAAAGTGAGGTCCCCATGCAGTTATGTGAAGTGTACGTTCAGAAGTGGTGGGCTGCAGCGTGAAGGAAGAGCCAAGGACTGGACAGGGGAGTCAGGAAATCCCTAAGCTAATTTTGTGATTAAGTCAATGTTCCATGTAACTGTTTGGATACTTTTAAAATTCCCACCCCTGAGGTGTGTTAATTCAGATACCTTTAAAAAAAAATCTCATCAAAAGAGTTTGGGGTTAGTTGGTATACTGAGCGTATAAACTCCATGTGAGATTTTTCATGTGAACATTTTTTAAACAGTGAATTTTTCACAAGAAAGAGGATGATAATGTTTCAGAAATCACTTTGGTGCCTGTTGAAATGCAGCCAGCTCTGGTGGAATACAGCAGTTGCCTAAGAGTGCACGGTAACGCTATCCAACCCTTCCTGCCAGGAAATGAAGAGTAGTGTATTCATTTGTAACCCGAGGGGGGGACTTCGCTCTACAGCCTATAGTGAATGGAATTTGGGTAGGTTACCACTAAAATTACAGAATGAGCCACTAGGTCTTGTATAACTCTCTCTATTTCTTACCTTGGTCTGAAGACGGCATTTCTTATTAGTACAGTATCTATGAGCAAATTTGTGTTGTTATGGAGTACAGCTAAGGACCATTCCTTATTATAAAGAGCTTTGATTTTATTTATTTATCTGAGGCCTCCTGGTACCACTTCACAAGGCATGTATTAGCAGCCCCAAAAGAAGAAAGGGCCAGATGAACGTCCTTTTCTTATAAAAGAATATCTCATGTTTTGCTTTTTCTGTTATATAACACAAAATATTTAGCTAAGACACTTTTCAAAGAATCAGTAACATAATCTATTTCAAAATAGTTACAGCTTTGCTTTATTGTTTATGTTTTCCTGGCAAATCATGTTGGTGATGTCTAATAATTATCTGTACCTTAATTTACCTTCTGACAGGAGTAATATATGTTAACCACAAAAAAAAGTTAAAATAAGAATCAAAAAGACAAACCAAACACCTAACTCAGCCTGACCCGTAACAGGTGAAAAGTTACTATTCCATGCTTCTTCAGAACATCAATGGAAACAAAACCTTTATCTTTTATTCATTAGTTAGGAATAATGCGAGTTGGGATAGCTTAGGTTTCTCCATAAAGTTGCATTTGTAAGAGTAATTCGCTAATCATGCCATTCACTTTTGGGGTTCTTTTTCAATAAGGACCACTAGCCGTGAAATGTCATGCAGAGGTTTGAAAATGGGACATTCAGCTCACTAAAGAGTGAGCTGCAAGGACAGAACTTTTTTTTATTACATCCTGGCAGTAAATGTAGGAATCAAAGCCACAAAATGAGTGACAGAATAACGCCCGGTATCGTCTAACAATGCTGATAGATATGGATGACCACGGTTCAGTGCAGCCACATTACATTTGCTGTGTATGTTTTAGTTATTGTTTATTATGTTCCATTCAACGGCAGAAGTTGGCAATATGTAAACTCCAATAGTTTATTTGCATGCTTGTGTGTGGAAAGTTGATCTGTAGTTACAGGTATTATTCCCAACCCTGTCCCTCCCCAGTATGGTTAGGCTTTGTTGCAACAGAGAAAATAATTGTTTCCATGTTTATATTATACAGCCACATCCAAGTAGTACTCCTGGTGTAAGTTATAATTTATGTTGACGTGAAACTTGCTGGTCTTTGGATTTACTTCTCAATTTACTGCAATAACATAATTTTATTTTACTAGAGATGAAGATTTAAACTGAAAGCGTTTTATATTCTGTATTGTATTTATCTTCCTGTTCAGTTTTTTAGGATTAGCTATTTATATATTCAGTTTAACTTAGATAAAAGGAAGTCAAGTAAAAGTTTGAGAGAAATACAGATTCAGTTTAACTTTTAAATCTTGTGTATTTAAATGCTTAAGCTCTTAAAACTTACATTGCAGTTCTGGCTTCTTAAATACATGCTAGAAGGAAACCTGCTAATGGTATTGACGTTCTGTGTAGAGACTTTTTTGTTAGAAGTGATTATTTCCTACAGAAAAAAGATCAGTTAGTGTGCATGGCTTTTTAAGAATAATAGGTTAAAAAAATATTGTAAACGCTTTTTCAAATGTTTTTAAATTCAGAATAGTTTTTTTTTCATAATTTGATCAAAGTCGCATAACCTGTGGCTCTGTTTTTGTTGCACATGCTGATGGTCTGTGGATAACATTACATTTTTTCAGCATGAAACTGAACACTTCAAATCCCTAAAGCAGTCTCAAATTTATGGTTAATAAAAGAATTTATTGTACTGGATGTCATCTGTTATATCACTCTGGGAACAGAAACTGGCAGTGAGTGGACAGGAAATATTTCCATTTCAAATCGCTTCAATCTTATGGTCTGGAGTGAAAGTGTTTGATTTCAGAAAAATCACTGTGAATATCGATGTAATAGAAGTATTTAAGAGTATGGTATTTTTCAATTTTTTTTTTTTTTTTGCTTTATAGTATTTTGTGTAAAGATACTACTTATATTATTAATGTGTCATACTTTCTGTACTTCAGTATTGATCCCTAAACCTTTTCAAGGCAGAAAGAATAGTAGTAATGTATTTTTGGTTAAATATCTATACATGCCAAGTGAACAGCAATTTGATGAGTTACCGTATGCCAAACTGCTCCAGTCTCAGACCTTTGTATTTGTAATTGGTTGGTTTTTTAAGAGTGTGAACTCCTGTGTGATGATTAGGTTCTTCTAGCTAAATGGATTTCTTCGTTATCTCCTTTTCAAATGTATTATAAAGCATGATATCCCTGAATTGTAACTTTATTAATAGAAACTTCAAGCAGTCAGATTGATGTTTCTGTATAGTTTCCATGTGTTAAGTAGTATTTGAACAGCTCTACATTTTCAAGTATTTAAATAATTTCAAATAATTATATATTTTAAATGGACATGTTTGTCTAGGGGATGTTATAACCAGGGGGAAGAAATTTTTACGCTTTGATCTTCAGTATGTATTAACATCCTGAAACATTCAATTTTTGATTTTCATACTGTTACGCATTAATATGTGGTTATAAAGGTTTGGAAGCAATTGAGTGCTTCCTTCGTTAAAAGATATGTAGCAGAGGCAGAAGTGTTGAATTTTTTTACAGATACTGTCTGAGACTGATTAAAATGAGTTTATTGAAAGATGGGTGTCACTTTAACTTTTTTGGTGTCAACCAGCTTATCTGACATTATTTTGAGGAAAATTGTGAGCAGAGCATACGAGGAGAAAACATTACCACATAGTGGCCATGGGAACACTAAATCTGAGTAATGAAGATCATCAGATTAGACAGAGATTAATTAGGGTTCAGATGATACTTGCTGTGTTTGCTTGATTGCTTTCTGTCCAACCATGGTAAAGTTATTACACAAAGCTAACTATTTACTTAAAAATCAAGGGAAAAGTTTATATACCCTGTCCTTAAAATCAGAGCAGTCAATTACTTTACCTGACTTGACACCCTGTTTCTGCTAGGTTGTAATGGAGTGTCTTGGACAACACCTTGTGGAAAGCTCAGTGTATTGCCACTGTAAATGTGACCGTTGTTCATCCTTAAATGTTTTACACATTAACTTTGTAAGTGTTTTTCTTTTTTTTTTTCCCTAAGCCTCAGTAGATTACAATTTTGGTTTCAAATTGTTCTTGTCGAATTTATGTCAGCACTTCATACCCATTACCCTGATTATACTATTATAATAACTTAACCTCACACCTTATTACTAACCAAAACAACTCAAGCAAATAATCCACAAATTATAATGTGGAAAACTGCACGTCTATTTTCTTTTACAGTCAAGCCTTAGCTTCTGTATATCAACTCTGCATCAAGTAAGTTATTTAGGTGTGGGGGGACTTTTTCTGTTTTGCATTACTGCAAAGCTGAAAAACAAGCCTTAATAAGG